CATAATTCTGACCTACTATCGAACCTTCTAATTTAGTGTAGAAAGTGCAATTCTTATGAAAAGTATCTTCTTGTCTCCTGTTAAAGGGCAACAGCTCAAATTTCCTCTGCTTATTTGCTATGGACCCTTCCCCAAGACCTTTTACTTTTTTTTTGTTTTTTCTCTCTTTTTTTTTATTCAAAGACAGGGTCTCACTGCATTGTCCATGTTGGAGGACCACGGCTATTCACAGGTGAGAGCATTGTATACTACAGCCTCAAACTTCTGGCCTCAAGCAATGCTCCCACGTCAGTCTCCCAAATATCTGTGAATAGAGGTGCATGCCACCACATCTGGCTTAAGACTTTTTACCTTTTAATTTATATAGACCTCAGACATAAACATTCATATCAATTTTATTACTAGATAGAAAAAGGAATATTAAATTAGGCACTGAGGACACAGAGGTTTCCCAGGCTAGTATACGAGTCAGCATCTCTTCACTGAATGAATTAATAGATTAATGACAAACAGATACAAGCAAACCATAACAAATAAGAATATTTTTACATGCAATGATACACACAGATGATAACAACATGCTACGAACTCTAGGGTGCTGTGGAGTTGGCCTCTAATTCAACCTAGAGATTCTAGTAAGGGCTTCCCTGAGACAGAGGGCATTTCTTGATTTACATGTTAATAGATGAGTTACTGAGGAAAAAAGGGAATGGAGAAGAGAGGAGCTTTGGACAGACAGAGAGCACCAAGCATATGCACAGGCAATTACCTTATTTGCTGCCTGAGTGCTGAACTGAAAGCTCCTAACATAGAAGAGACAACCAAATAAATATTGCCTGTTTAATGAACTCATTAAAAATGGATAATGTTGATTCCTGTTAACATAGCATGATTCCCTTTCACCTGTTACAGGCAATGCCATTCTGGGTCAAAAACAAAAAGATGCCTTTCTCTCCTTTAAAACAGTAGTATTGCCAATGATGTATTTCTAGGGTTTATGGTATAGTCGATGCCTCTTCATGAAAGGAGTGTGTCAGAATACACTGAGAAGCTTTTCCATGATGCACTTATCCAGCTACCACCTCCAAAATTCTAAAGCAATACATCCAGGACAAAGCACAGGCATGTGCATTCTGATTGATTCTATTGCACATCCCAGAGTTACTGATCTGAAGCTGAGAACTGTGGTGTAAACATTATGCTGAGAAGTACTCAAAGGTGATAGCAATGAAATATTCTGAGATATCTATATGGAAATAGGAAGAACAATCCCTAAAGAGAGATAATTGAAGTGTTGCTCTGTAAAACCCATAAATTAACTCAATTATAATAGGTGTAATATAAATGATCTTGTTTGTGTTAAGGAGCCAAAACTGTGAGTTATTCATAGTTATTAGGAGCTGTTTTTAAACTATAAGCTAATTATAAAAACTATAGTTTTCAAACTGTTAGCTAATTAGTTTGCATTAGTAATCAGTAGTCTTCACTACCCTAAATATATGACTGCCCTCAAGTGTTTGCTTCAACAATCTATCAAGCCAAGGAGATACAAAATGAAAGGATGCATATTTCTTTTTCTATTATTATTATACTTTAAGTTCTGGGATACATGTGCAGAACATGCTGGTTTGTTACATAGGTATACATGTGCCATGGTGGTTTGCTGCATCCATCAACCCGTCATCTAGGTTTTAAGCCCCATATGCATTAGGTATTTGGAAAGGATGCATCTTTCATAAATGAACAGCCAGGAAGACTACTGGCCAGTCATAAAATGTTTTTACTTTAGTGCTGTTGCCCCTTAAGAGTGAATATTTTATGTGTTTGTTTTTTCCCCATATAAGACATGAATAAATGTGTCGTCTGAAATGCATCAGTATTCAGACTGGGCTTTTGACATAACAAAAATAATAGTACCATGCAAAACAAAAAATGGTTTTAATTTTAATTTGGTCTCCAAGGGCATTTTCAAGGCATTTACCCATCCAGATTTTCAAATCAACTAGACTTAACTCTGAACTGGCTGACTTACCAATATATCAACAGAAAGAAACTATCAATCTAAGGAGCTATTTATCTTTAGTAGCCAGGAAAAAGTAGAGTCACTGGAGATAATGTGAATTATATCCAAACACTATTCACAGAAGAAAAATCTTGGCTGAGCAAGAACTAGGAGTCTCCTTGACAAAAACAGAACAAACCTTAGAAATACTTCTTTAAAATAACCATTACTTTGTTCATTTTATTATCCATTAATTACTCTTTTGTTGCTTGATATTTTCCTAAAGGAAAATAAATGTCCATTCATAACAAAAAAAAAAAAAGAATAAACAGTAACAAAAAAAAAGAATTCCACTATTTAAATGGCAAAATACATCATTGTTCTCTTAGTAAGTGCCAAATTTTCCATCAAGATAAAAAAGTAAATGCAAAGAAAATCAGAAAAAGAGACAGCACTACTGCCCTGCCCACCACCAGCCCATCAGTGATAAAGTTAGCCTCTAGTTAAGCCATAGAAGCCAGACGTAGGCAGGCATCCTGCATGAGACGTCCAGAGCATCACATCTGCCAGGCTATGCAAAGGAATGCAGAACGAGCAACATAATCACAATGACAGCCAGTATCTTTGGGGTACAATACATAATGAAATTTATTAAAAGGGGAAATGTTTAAAGAAGATTATGTAAATGTAAGATCTTGAGTAGTCAAAAAAAGCCTTAAAACTCAAATTGACAGAAAGTATAGGTTAGTTATTTTTCACTGATTAAGATGTAAAAAAATTCAGTCATTAAGAGCCATTTTAAAACTATAAGCTAATTATAAAAACTATAGTTTTCAAATTGTTAGCCATTACAGTTTGTATTAGTAATCAGTTGTCTTCACTACAGAAGCAATACCCAAATGGCAATAAGGTCTACATGTTCTAGATAAAATTTAAATTGGGATATTTGCTATGCCTGCCTAAAGCAGTCCAGTGAAAAATAAAACATAATTTGCTAGTTTTTGAATAAAAGTAAGAAAATTCATTTAAATTGACTCATGCTATCAGGTCAGGTAAGAAATTCATCATGCCTTTCCAACCATCTTGATCATCTTAAACTAAAAGAAAATTTTACCCATCTTTGGACAATATCTGTAAAGGAATTCACAAACAGAATATGACTTAAATGAAGACATCTATTTTCAAATAATTTATCCAAAACAATTCTCATGGTGTCTGCCAAAAATAGAAATTATTTAAAGCTTCCAAGACTTTTAAAGCTCGGAGTTATTAAAAATAGAGTCCTTAAAATTTAGGGCAGACCATTTCATAAAATACTGCTTTTATTTTCTTGTGGCATTTAAAGTATACACATAGAATGCTGAGGGATGATGAAGAAAAACAAAAGATAGGAGTGCAATATTCCAAGTTCGTTTTTCTCGACATTTACTATATTGTGGAATAAAAGCAAGCCAATGCTAAAAAATAAGTAGGTTCAAAACCAATCTTTTTCATATATAAGTTTTTTACAACTTAATATATTTTAAAACCTCAGAGAACTTACCTCCACAATTGCTACCACAGAAAATTATGTTGTTCATTATTGATTAGCACATCTTTCATTTTAGAATAAGCAAAAGAATGTTTCACACTGAACAAAGGTTTACAGTCTTTGATTTCTCTTACAGGCAATTCACAAATCACCTGACGTGGCTGAATTAAAACTAGCACAGCTCGTTACTGCAAAAAGCAATGCCATTAATACTATTCACCAACAATTTAAGTAAAGAATAAAGAATTTCAGCAAATTTAATATTCTAATCCCTATCTGCTATCACATTAATATATACTGTTTACCACTTCTTAGAATAACAGACTAACACGAATATTAAATCTAGCTGAAAGGGCAAAGTACCTGAATGGTATTAGTACTTCAAAGTCACTATTATAGGCATTAATTATTATTATTACAGAGCATCTGTAAGTCATACGACTACATAGACACTGAAATGTTCTTATGCAACGGGATGCATTTCTACAGCAAATCATTGATGTCAGATTGCTAATCTAATGAGATGGCATGTACCAATTATTTAAAATATAAAGAATGACATAAATATAAAGTATTATTCTATGGAATACACATTTGAAATTTTTTAACTTCCTGAAAATAAGAATTCCATATCATCATAAGATACAAAGGAGATGATACTATTAAAATGTAGGTTTATAAAATAAAAGATGGATATCTACATTTTATTCACTTCACTAAGTACATAAGTTTGCTAGGGCTACTGTGACAAATACCACACATTGGATGGCTTAAAGAACGGCAATTTATTTTCTCACTATTCTGGAGGCTGGAAGTCTGAAATCAAGGTGTCTGCAGGGCTGCTTTCTTCTGAGGCCTCCCTCCTTGGGTTGCAGATGGCTGTCCTTTCTCTGTGTCTTCACCTGGTCCTTCCTCTCTACTCTGTCCTAATACCTTCTTCTTGTAAGTCATACCACCAGTTATACTGGATTAAGGCTTACCCCCAATGACTTCATCTAAACCTAATCATCTTCTTAAAGACCCTATGTCCAAATAAAATCACATTTTAAGTTCAACGTATAAATTATGAGGGATATAATTTCGCCCATAACATTAACTAAGCATCTGCTGTATAAAATTCATAACTGAATTCTTTTAAAAATACTGGACCACAGAAACATCTTAAATGATTGTCTTTTAAAAAAAAAAAAAAGTAAGCAATATACAACTTTACAAGAATATAAATGTTTATGGAAGTAATTTGTCCTTATTTTTTCAAAAATACTTTTGAGGCAGTTTACATGATTAAGAATTAATTAAATAGAGCAGCAACAAGAACAAAAGCAAACACAGAAATCAGAAACTACAGACACTATAGAGATAGGGCTACACATAAGTTCATTCTTTTCTGTCTGAGTACTAAACTTAACTACATTAACTGGGACTCGGGGATAAAAAAGGGGGTAAGGGGTTAAATTGACTTCTTACCTTTCAAACAAAGGTAGCTGAGAAATTTGTTCAGAAAAATACACTTTGCCCCAATACCAAGCTCTAGAAGGCAAGTAAGGAACAGATTAATATAGAAGCATCTAATTAACTTCTATGCCCTAACTTTATTTTGCCTATAATACGCACTTAGCCATGCTACATGCATAAACTAACAGGCTATGAAAAAGCACTCATTTTTTATCCATTTATTTCTTCATTCAACAAATATTACTGCACCCTACTATCTGCCAGGCATTACACACTGGTGAAGCAGAGATCAAAACCCAGCCCTCCCAGAGCTTCTGTTCTAGTGAACAGAGCATACTTGGAGAACATCAAGATTGAATTCAGCAGTCTGCAGAGACTGAATTGAGAATAAGTAAAACAAAGAAAGCATTTCCGGTTACTCTCTCAACCACTCCGTCATTAAAGTGAAGATGAGTACAGCAGAGTTTAGCAAAGGAGACTGCAAGAGTTTAAAGTTTGTCCTTTCTTCAAAAGAGTAAGTTAATTTTAAATTTAATATATTCAAAGAGATATGCAATTCCCAACATACGTATTAAGTGATAACTCAAAGACTAAATGATTCTACTTTTTAAAGCATAGAATAGACTACATCTTAAGCTGTTTAATACTTCAGAAAAAAACAAAAGTTTAGAAATATTTACTAAATATTAACATTTTGCTATTTAGGTTTCAGACTCTTTATTTTTGTAACACTACCACTAAGGACTGCCATCATCCTTTTCACTCTCTTCCTCTCTAGAGATAATTTTCAGAATATAATTTCATTCAGGTTTTTTTGTTTTAATGTATGTGAATGCCTAGACATTATAGACACAATTGTGTTCTGTGGGTCAAACTTTTACATAAATGGCATTATATTACATGAATAATTTGTACTTTGTTTCTTTTCCCCCATCTTCTCTCTCTCTCTCTCTCTCTCTCTCTGTGTGTGTGTAATGAATTTCCATTGATACAGGCAGAAATATAATTCACTCACTTCAACTGCTATATTTGCAGCATAAATAAACCTGTGTGTTATTAATTACTCAAGAGAGGGATAGTCAAGTTGTTTCCTTTAAACGTACCACACACACACATACACACATACACACACATACACACACACACACACACACCATGCAGTCTGCAGAGCCCTCTTAACCATTCTATTGTTTAAATGAACCAGAGTATGTATAGCAGAGATCAGATATATCTTCATATGAATATATACCCATGTGACTAGGTGTCTAATCTTTGCTATAATCCATCTTGTACATGCACACATACAAGTGGTACAATGAACACCCCGGTGCAAGTGTTCTTGCCCATGTTCAGGAGAAGAGTCTCTCCAGAGCAGACATGTAGCTATGGAAGTGTTGGGTCAGAGAGTACACACATTTTCTGCTTTACAGGGAACTGTCGAATTGCTTTCCCAAGAGAAAGAAAAGAATTCCTCTTTGCCCACATTCAGGCCAAGTCTGGAGATATCAGATATCAACTATTTTTTGCCAATTTGATGGGTTTAAAGTGATATTTCATTGTTGTTTTAGTTGGTATTTGCTAGGTTATAAACAAGCTTTTGAACTTCAATTTCAGGGAAGTGAATACATGGTCAAGAATATAGGGAATAATTTCTCAATCTCTCAGTCATGTTAAACACAGTCTAAATCTTCAAGGTCATTCTCTATATGCTCTCACTGCACTCAACTGCCAGCAGTAATAAACTGCCATCCGGTCTCTCGGGCCCTCTCAAGATCTGAAAACAAAGATCTAATAATGTACTAGGCACTCCTTCTCCACAATGAAGGAGTCTTATTCTGACTGAGATCTAAGAATAGCCTACTAGAAAATTTTACATCATATCACAACAATTAAACAAAATTTTCACAAAACAATGCTTATCCTTACAGGTGAGGCATTCTGATATTTTCCATTTTACTGTATTTTAATCTATGTATTTGCTAGTAACCCACTAAATTGATGTCATGATCCCATTAAAAAGTCACAACACTCAATTTGGAAACATTAAATCTCTTCAATGCTCAATGTGCCTGGGAAGCAGAGAATACTTGTTTGAGTTTCAACCTACGAGCTGAGGGCCCCTACCAACCCTGCACAAAGTATTAACAGAAAAGGACACCTAACGGGCCCCTCTGCCCAAGGGGTTCTAGGGTTGGAACCATCAGTGTTACAAGACCTTAGTCTACTTTTCAAATGGATGTGCAAAGCTTAGAATCGTGGGAGGTCTGACACTCTTGGGGTATATTTGTTGGGCAACTTTATTTGGTGCTTTTTGTTTTTAGGTTGGTTTTTGCTTTACTGTCTGGTAAACTGTCTTAAAGATTCCAGAGATATGGGTGAGGACCATGTATTTTGAAAACATCTAGAAGTATACCCTTTTTTAGTAAGTTATTTGGGTTCCCAAGATTTGCCATAACAAAATTAACAAAATTGTTTCCACACCCCTAAAAAGTAATCTAATAGCTTACTACTTGATATTCTGACTATTCAAATAATACAGCTTCTTTGATGTTCCAACTTCTGCCTCAAATAACATATATATCTGTACTCTTGAACAAAATAATCAGGTTTAGGCCTTATTTTAAATTGATTTTGTTAACTTTACTTACTCTGAAACTCGGCCCTTGTTTTTAATACACTTCCATTGTATTTAGCTGAGGCTAGGCACTGAAAATTTCTGAAGTCATCATCATATTTTTATGTACACATGAAAACTTAAATTGTGCCCTCACAATTTTGCATTTGTAAATATAAGACTTAACATTCTGATTAACATGTAAAATTTTCTTAAAACTTATTTCTGTTAGGCTTTTTTTTTTTTTTTTTTGCTGGCCATTTTATCCTCTATTTCCATTTTACCGGATGCTATATAAAAATACACCATCCAGCCAATTGACGTCTTAGGTTCAAGTTATACACAAAGCTAGCACTGAAGCAGATTCAGGGACCTAGCACATTACACTGTGGTGTCTTTCTAAAATGTGCATGCATGCACTCAGCATGGAATGTTATGATTGGATAAGTTACAGGTTTCCAAATTTAAAAAAAAAAAAAAAAATCTGTTTTCATTCCAATCTTGTTTATGCAAAGGTTCCGAAGATTTGAACTGGCAGGTTATTTCTAACCCTTGCCTTTTCTCCCACCTTCTTTGAGTTCCTCTCTCTTGCTGAGAATCTAGAAGTGACAACCTGCTATTTTCTAGAACTGTATGGTGGTAATTTGAATAGCAAGCTCTGCGCCTGGTACAGATTGTCAGAAATATATACCTGAAACTATAATTGTACCATGTGTGGGTGAACAGGGAAACTTAGTTGACATCAAGAGTATTTACAAGGAGAAAACATGCTCAATTTAATTCCAGTACAGACATTCCCATTTCAAAAGGAAAAGTTTCAATTTCCCACTTAACTTTGACAGTGGCTATAATAAATTTTCTCAAATTTTCATGAATTTGAATTAGGAAATTTCACATTTCTAATTAAAAGTTTCTTAAACACCAGTTATAAAATATCAACGCTTCTTTTGCTGCATCTCAAAAAATAGAAATATACCACATTTAACAGGAGGTCATGTAATACTACCAGAAGTCTTCATATCTTTATATTCATATTTGTACTTCATATTCAACCATGTAATTTCCCAGAAATATCAGTTATTTTGCTCTTTTATATAATATATGATTTAAAGAAAATCCAAAGCATCAGTCAAACTATCTTACTCATCTTTGTAAAAGCTGTAGTGGCCTGAAAAGTCAAGTCCTAATCACTGGTACTTGTAAGTGTTACACTGTTACATTATTTTAAAAAAAGAGTCTATGGAGATGTGATTAGATTAAGGATTTTGTGGTGGGAAGACTATCCTGGATTATCCACATTATCCACATAGGCCACCACATGTCCTCATGAGAGAGAGGCTGAGGGAAATTGCACACACAGAAGAAGAGAAGGTAATGTGACCAGAGAGGAAGAGACTAGACTGATGCAAATCACAAGCCAAGGAATGCCAGCAGCCACCAGAGGCTGGATAAGGCAAGGAATGAATTATTTCCTACACAATCCAGGGGGCGCACAGCCCTGTTGACACCTTGATTCCAACTCAGGGACAATGATTTTGAACTTTGGTCTTCCAGAACTATGAGAGAATAAATTTCAGTTGTTTTAATCCACTCAATTTGTGTAAATTGTTACAGCAGCTTCAAGAAATTAATACAACTATACTTGCTATTATCCCAGGATAATGTATTGAATTTTCTGATTACATTAATAAATTTGAGCGAGAGGGATCCACAACCACTTGAGAGAAATGAATGATCCTATTTTAGTGTGCTGGAGAGTCTGAGAAGTATTTTTGAAACAACCAGGCCTAGAAAAATGAAGAGAGTTTAAAGTGTGTATTAGTCTGTTCTCATGCTGCTATGAAGAAATATATGAGACTAGGTAATTTATGAAGGAAAGAGTTTAATTGACTCACAGTTCCACATTGCTGGGGAGGCCTCAGAAAGCTAACAACCATGGTGGAAGGGGAAGCAAACACGTTCTTCTTCACGTGTTGGCATGAAAAAGAAGTGCTGAGCAAAGGAGAGGAAAGCCCCTTGTAAAACTATCAGATCTCATGAGAAGTCTCTTGCTATCACAAGAATAGCATGGGGGAACCCCCCCCCATAATCTAATCACTACCCATGAGGTGCCTCCCATGACAAGTGAGGTTATGGGAACTACAATACAAGATGAGATTTGAATGAGGGCACAGCCAAACCATATCAAAGTGTCAGAGCCAAGAACAGAACATCTAGTCTAAGGAGCAAATTTAAACTACATTTAAAACCTTTCAGAAAATAACTTGTCAGGGCTGCACATGGAAGCTCATGCCTGCAATCTCAGCCCTTTGGGAGGCTGAGGCAGGAGGACAGCTTGAGGCCAGGAGGTAAAGACCAGCCTGGGTAATATAGTGAGATTCTCATCTCTAGAAAAAAATTAAAAAAAAAAAATAATCCAAGTGTGATAGCATGCATATGTAGGCCCAGCTATTCGGGAGGC